ACCCCAAGTCTTTTTATTGGTCTTTAGTTTTGTCAGTACTCTGTTCACTATTCTGAACTTCTCTTCACCCTTTCTACCCTCGGTGCTCTCTCATCCCCCATGAACTATCATCATGTCCTACTAGGACCATTTCAGTAGCCAATCTTGGCTCTCTTTTAGCTGAGTCTCAACATAGCAGCTAGAGGGAACTTTCTAAAACTCAAATCTGAGCCCTTTGCTCCTCTGCATATAGTCTCTCCGTGGTTTCCTGTTCATCTTGGATCAAAATCAACTCCTTCTCCCTGTCCTATCAGATCCCATGTGGTCTGGCCCAGGTCATTGCTTTGGTTTCATGGACACCATGCTTTTCCCTCCCTCTCTGTCCTCCCAACTATAGTGGATCATTCTTGTAATTCCCACCTCAGGATTCTTGCACGTATATATTATTACCACTGCTCAGAAGACTCTTCTTCCACGCTCTCCTTCCCCCCGAGAGGCTACCCCTACTGAGATCTCAGCACAGAGGTCCCTGCCCAAGAGAAGTCTTTTCTGACCCTTACATTTTAAGCCTTTCCAGCTCCCTGTAGAAGTTATTACATGTAGCATTATCTGACAGTGTGATTATTTAATATGTGTGTCCCACTAGCCCATAAACTCCAAGAGTTTACACAGTGCCTGGGACGTAGTAGGTGTCCCCTAAATATTTATTAAATAAAAGAGTGAATGAATGAACAAATGAGCAAAGAATAAAAAGAACTAGCAATAGCCTGCCTGAGACTCCTGACTAGAGCTTTCCTATTATTAAAGGGAGGTGAAAACAAAGATAATTTCATTACATCATGGAATTCACGCTTGATTATGGCTTGTAGAGAATGCATTGTTTTCCCATCATTTACTTTGGAGATAAACTCTTAGGCACAGAGAGGTGAAGTAACTTGCCCAGGGCACACAGCTAACTGGTGTCACATGTCTTCGTTCTGACCTTTGAATGGTGTGTGGAGAGAAACATACATATTTTCATAACTCTCCAGCCCTCTGGTGTGCTGAGTCTGTAGGATTTCCATTCATATTTGGTAATATTGATGTTGTCATGTTGGAATTTTAAGAACGTCTTTTGAGAACGCGTGTTGTTATTTTTATTTCTTCTTGTACACCAATGCTTCCAGAATTAATTGGGTGACAGTCTAAGAATACACAGATATATGGCCTGAAGATGTGTATGTCCTAAAAGATGGTGTCCACAATTAGAAGCAGCTTGTGTTTGGCTCCCACCAGGACTTGGTAGGGACAACCCTCATCCGCTTGGGGTCTGAGGGTGAGGAAGTCTGTCTGGATCTCTAGCCTGCCAGTAGGAGAGCATGTGCGATTATCAGATCCAGTTCCAAAAATGCCCGAGATCTCTCAAACTGAGAAGGGACGCAAGCAATCCTACAGCCCTCCTAAATTCTGAGACTCCGTTAAGTGTTAAAAATTCCCCGGGATGTGAAATTACCTCCCTTTCAAGTTCTCCACTAACTAACGCGCAGCCGCTGCAAACCTCAGCCGGTACCTGCAATCTGGAAGGCTAAGAGAGAGCATCCTGAGGTGCTCGCCTGGCTGCTGGGTGAAGTGTTGGCCTGCCTGGGTCCTTGCATCGCCCCTTCAGCAGTGTGAGGCAGCATTTTTGTCCTGCAGGTACAGTAGGTACTGGATTAAACAGGTCTGCTGTTGAAGACAGACACCAGGCACCGTTCTAGCACGAGCTGTGTTTGGATTGGAGTTTCCAGGGCCTTATCAGGAGCCACCCCTAGTGACACAGCCAGTGCCAGAACTAACTTTGACTTTCACTCTTCGCCAAGGGCTTGAAGAGCACCTTAAAGGAAAAAAGATGGAGGCGCTTAGAGTTCAGATGTTCATGCCTTGCTCCTTTGAAAGCTTATATCTGTAAGTGAAGTTTTATTCTGGAAATAATCCCGGGACCACTTAACAGGAGCGATTTTTTTTTTTTTTTTTTTTTTAAGGGGGAGGCTAGAGAACAGGAAGGTTTTATTGGGAGTTAAAAATACTGGAACTGTTACTTTGTTACTGTGGCTTTAATCAGCTTCAGCTGTAGCCTCTAATATGCGGCCAGGGCAAGGATAACAACTAATTTGTTGGGGGGGTGGGGGGTGGTGGAAATGCTGGCCCATTAGCTTTGTCTTGTTTAAAATTGAATGTCGGTCTTCAATTAGTAATGCCAAAAAAAAAAAAAAAAATGACCGCTTGAACAATCCGAGAACAGAGCTTGATTTATGATTATGGGGTAGGTTGCAGCTCAGCTTTGTCATGAATAAAAAAGGATTTTCTTCAGGAAAATGAGCGTCCCTAGCAGTAGCATTTGTCAAAATTGCCTTATTGCAAACCCTTTGGATTTTTTGCTTTCTCCTTTTTTTTTTTTTAAACCTTACTGTGGAACAGTAGCAGTTGCATTTATAAACATCTCGTTTGCATTTCTGTATATTGATTTCTTTTTCTCTTTGAGAGGAAAACAAAACATCCAAACATCAGAGTCATCTGCCTGGCGTGTATAAGTGTAGAACAAATTTGAAATGGGCAGTTTCAAACAAATACTAAAAAAGAGAAAGACTAAGTAGATGATAGCGCCCCCCCCACCCCCCTTTAACATTTACTTTCAATGTTAGATGATAAGATTTGAAAACAATACTAAAAGCTGTGTCCCTAAGTGAATAGGCATTCAAGCAAATCAACTTATGCAAAAGCCACCTTTGGAGCTTAATAATTATTTACTGAACGTTCCTGGGTCATGAGAGAGGTTGTGATTAAGTCAGAAAAGCATTATGTTCAGCAGCTTGTGAAGGTGTGTTTAAAGACGACAAGAATAGTGGAAAAATACTAAATGCAGCAGAACTATTTTTAGAATTTGATTCTTAAAAAATGAATCCCCACAAATTGAAGTGCAGTTAGAGTTCATTGTGTTTAGTAGGTACATCTTTAGAATTTCTTATAGTAGCTTTTAAAATGATTTCTATTTTTTTTTGCGTGATTTTTGCTGTATTGAGTTTGCTTTCACTTGTATTTTTCATTCTGTAGGTCATAAAAACAGTTTAATGACTTATTTCTTTGCAAAAAATGAGCATTTTATGGACAAAGTTTATGTATATTAATTATGTATTTAAAATGTCATTATGCTAGAAATGTTATAAATTTCTTCCTTGCAAAGCAGATAATAGTTAGGGAGATGATGTCTGCTCTTTGTGATTCATACCCCACAAGAATGTACTCTGTAACTTACTAATTTTTTTAATATTAATTTAATGCAAATTAACAGATGACATGAAAGGATAAAACATACCATTCTGATGCAGCCTAAGGACAGTGATGATGTCACCCTTGAATTTACACCAAAATTAATTCGTACAACTGCTTTTGCTTAATTGATTTTGAATTTCTTTTTCTGGTTAAAGAAAATACTCACCATAGGAGCATGCTTCCCTTCTAAACTCTCAGAATGAAATTCTTAGCACACATCTTTGACAAAACTGTTCACTGAGCTGTTGCCTATTAACTTCTTTGTGCCTGTTCTTTTAGGGAGGGCACATGTTGTGAATTGTTTCTTTTGTATTTTCCTCTAGGAAAGCAAAAGAACACTGTAGCAGAAGGCAACATTCTAAGAGTTTTGGCTTCCTAGAAAATAACTTGTCAGTTTTTACTAGTTTTGAGATTTTAAGAAGATGCTGAGGATACCAAATTAAGAATTAAAACATAGAATAGTGTAACTTGTACTTATGGCCCACGTGGTGTGCTGGCCACCACTCTAACCCATATTAACACATTTGATTCTCATAATTGCTCTCTACCTAAGGTACTGCTTTCTCCTTCCATTTTGCAGATGAGAAAATTGAGGTTTGGACAGGAGAAAAATCCTGCCCATGTCCTGTAACTGAGACATGATAGAGCCACATTTTCACCCTTAGGTATGCTGGCTCCAGGACTTCTGCTCTTTTCTGTTATGTTTTATGGATTTTCATTTAAGATACTGAATGAATTGATATTTCCTCCTCTGCCTTTTTACGGAGTGGTTTTCCGCAACGCACAGACTTCTGAATTACTCCAGCCTTTCCTCATTTGAGCTTTTGAGGGGGGACATACGTAGTCTAGTGCCACAGTATTTGACTTTCAAATGTATTTCCTTGTATCCAGTTCACTATTGATAATAATTATAAGGCAGCTATTTGGGGCAAGAGATCTACAAAATATATACATCAATTATAGGATCTGTTCTGACTTGAGAAATCTGAAAATGTAGAAGGAAAGTTTGGCTTAGAATTAAGGAAATGCAGTAGGACTCCAGAGCTCTTGGGAAAAATATATTCTCTGTCACTGGATGATTCAAGCAAATGGTTTGACTAAAAGGTCTTCTGACACTAAGATTCTAATATTATCTGATTTTAAGAGGTGGAGTATTTGTTAGGATGGAGCCACCACATTTATTCACTAAACAGGCATTTATTTGATCCTACTGTGTGCCAAGGATTCTTCTGGGTGCTAGGGAATCTATATGTGAATAAAACATAAAACAAAAATCCTGTCCTCATGGAGACCGGGTCATGAAGGACTATGCACATTTCAGCTCCATTCTTTTTTTTTTTTTTTAATCTTTTTTTTTAACGTTTATTTATTTTTGAGACAGAGAGAGACAGAGCATGAATGGGGGAGGGTCAGAGAGAGGGAGACACAGAATCTGAAACAGGCTCCAGGCTCTGAGCAGTCAGCACAGAGCCCGACGCGGGGCTTGAACTCATGGACCGTGAGATCATGACCTGAGCTGAAGTCGGCCGCTTAACCGACTGAGCCACCCAGGCGCCCCTCAGCTCCATTCTTAAGTCTGGGCCTCATCTTTGCAGTTCAGAGTGACTGCTGGACCTCCAACAATTACAGCCAAAGTCTAGGAGACATGATGGCAGAACTTAGACGTGAAGCTAAACTAACCAAGTTCCTGGAAAGCTGGGTAATGTGGTGAATGGCACTGTACCAGCTAAAACGAGGAGAAAATAGGAAAATGGATATTGGATTGTTTGAGTTATAGCTTTTAGGCCAAAACTTTATTTTTTCCAGAATGACTGATATTTCCTAAATGTCACAAACACCAGCTGTGGTACTGCAGGGCACATCAAACTGGGCTTAATCACAAATGGAGGTTGGTCTTTGCAAACGAGTATCCGATGTTCAGGGTTTTCGGGGTTTCACAGGTCATTCGATTCATTTGCTCAGCGTCATCCAATGCTGGCTCCTTCTTTGCATTTCCTTCTTCTCTGTCCTTTCTTCCTTCAGGCCACATTACTGTTTCAACTAGTGTGACTTCCTTTTCAGTTGGTCCAGGAACTTCCAGACTTACATCCCACCATCTTTCCAAATCTTTGCATAAAGAGAGTTCTTTTACCCCAGTAGTTATAGTCCAAAGCATAGGACTGACTCTTGCTGGACCACTTTGGAGCACAGGCCCATGTGATGGATATGCTGATTGGCCAATCCTGGGTTGTGTTTCTATACCTGGAGTCAGCAGCAGCGTTATAACCTCATGAACTGAAAGTGAGGAGGCTGGTCCTTCAAGATGAAATCAGGGTGCGTCACCAAAGAAGTGGGGCAAGATGCTGGGCTGCTCAGGAGGCCATCACTTGTCCTTTGGTCTGGATTTCCACACAGTATTGCAGACTTCCCATGTTGGGAAGGTATGTCCTAGGCATGCATAAAGAAAGTTCTTCCTTTTAAAATACTGCAGGTGGAGTGTCATGTCATGCCATCTCAATTATTTGCACCTTACAGGGGATGAGTTGTTCAGAGCATTTTAAAACATGGCAGCTAGGCGTGAATGGGATTCCACAGTTGGACAGAGTAAGCAAGAATTGTAGAGTGTGGCCTAGTGGAAGGGAGCTTGATATGAAAGACAGAGAGCTTCAGTGTGCAGCATCTTAACTTTATAGGTTTCGTACCTTTTGACGGCCTGGCTCTCAGAGGCACTTTCCTGTAGGGAATTGAGGGCTAAGAGTATGCCAGCCCGTAGTGGCATCTGTGGAAGATGGAGAACAGTTGTGGTCATAAAATGAGGAAATGGCATCCTCGTATCCCTGGTTGAAAATATCGTTTAGTAAGAGTTGACATTCTCCTTAGTTACAGAGTGTACTGAAGTGAGAAACTCTGCGAGTGGTGAAAATAACCAACTTAAAAAAAATCTGATGATGAAATTGCCTGGAAGAACACTGGTCATGTATTACTGAAGTCTCTTAAACATTTTTGGTAATCCTTCCTATTTAAAGAATTTTTTTTTCAGGCAAGGGCTTGCAACATATTTTTATTTTATTTATAAATTATAAACATGTCAATAATGTTTATATGTTAAACACATTATTTACATTATAACTATATTACATTATTTACATGTGCCATATTGTAATGGTATATGTATTACATTGTACAACATGTACAAAAAGAGAAAATAAAAGTGAAGGATAAAATTTTTATGTAAAGAAACGTTCTTTAAAAAAAATTTTTTAACGTTTATTATTTTTCGGAGAGAGATTGTGAGTAGGGGAGGGGCAGAGAGAGAGGGAGACACAGACTCTGAAGCAGGCTCTGAGCTGTCAGCACAGAGCATGATGCGGGACTTGAACCCCTGAACTGTGAGATCATGACCTGAGCCAAAGTCGAACACTTAACTGACTGAGCCATCCAGGCACCCCTATAAAGAAATGTACTCATCTTTTCTTCCTGAGCCCCAAGATATCATATTTTGTATCCTCTTTTGAAGAATATTGATAGACTGGGGGTCTTATTAGGGTTCTCTTTAATTTTGATCTAATCAGTTGCTGAGATTATTCTTGCTGATACCAGTTTAAAATTATTAATCCCGGGGCTCCTGGGTGGCTCAATTGGTTAGGTGTCTGACC